ACAGATCATAATTGTTTTTCAGTGAAGAAGAACTTAAAATCTACTTTGCTTTTCTGTGCCAGTTTTCAGACTTTCACTCATTTTTATCTAGTTATTTTCCCCAACTTGCTCAAGTGCATTTACACTGTACCCATCCATAATTGAGGATAAAATTCGATTTTTGGTTTGTTTCAGCCATGCATGTTGCTTACTACACAATTCAAAATAATCCATCTTTGGTAGCTCCTCATCAGAGATCCGAGTTGTTTTACGTAAGTTTCAATTCTCCTGTAGACACTATGTCCTCAAGTGCGTTTCTTGAGAGTGATTTGTTTAATACGTTGTATTACCGACGTAAAGAAATGGTTAGATTGGGAAATTGCTACTATCCTACTATCACTACACTAAAATCTAAAAAAAAAACTGCTGAAACTTTTTCGTTCATAAAGGTATCTGGTGTCCTAATCCCTAGAATGACATTCACTTCTGGCGCTAGTGGCATTCAGCGGATCTCTCTTTGAGGATTCGCTTTCTCTCTTTTTTTGCCAATTAGGATTATTTTCGCTTTCGGTCCATAATACTAGCAGTAATGTGCATGTCAGACTCAGCGCTTGTGCAACCGCAAAGCGACATCGCTGTCGCATTGCACATTCGCCGAGTCTGAAATCCATCTACAGTCCATATCTCGAAGTCTGATTGGGCGTGTCCACCAGAAATGACGTGGCGACCACCGGGCTCCCATACTTTCTGCACGATTTGGGGCGCGGCCGCGCTCGCCGCGGCCGCGCCCCAAATCGTGCAGAAAGTAGGGGAGCCCGACCACCGCACTTGATAGATGTCGTGTGGATGAGAATACTCCACCAGATATCAGCAAAGCGTGTTGGAAGCAGCTTATCCGCGCAACTTCTATCAAGTGCGGTGGCTGCCACGTCATTTCCGGTGACACGCCCAATCAGACTTCGAGATATGGACTGTAACCATACGGTAGCGGAGGAAGAAGGTCGGGGTATTTGAAAAGTTCTCACTACTCCGGGTTTCCCTCTCCATCCGAGGCTTGATCCTATTTTAACATAGCATATTGACGTCATTGCATACCTTACGCACCAACCATACTCAAAAAATCGACGGCCCTTGCCTCATGTGGTTTTGCACCGTGATTGCCGTTGAGTAGCCCCTAGCACAGTTTTAACAACGAATCTGGTGAAACAACCGTGGCGTCAAATGGTACCAGCGTCAAAAATGTATATCCTAATAATTCTTCGATTATAGTTCCTCATAAAGGAAATCAGTAGTTTTTCAAGATTCCAGGGGGTAGCAATAGTGAAGTGCTGTGCCTATAATTGATCAGTGGAATTTTTGAAATATCGTTTATTGAGCGGAAACTGTCTTTTACTGCCGACTAGTTTTCCAAAATAAATCTTGCCAGGCTTCGAACTACTTGAATCGTTGACGTATCGAATCTGGTCTTTGTGCTTCAGTCAACTTAATGGTTATGTCTCAGTGATTGTTCATGTTCCCCAAACCGCAAATCCTAGACACGTTGTGGACCATGCTTGGAGCGATTTTCCCACCTTTCCATTCCTCTCGTCACTCATTGCGGACGCTACTTATTTCCGTTTCCCAAAAAGCCAAGAATTAATGTGTGATCTGCAGTAATTGTGGATGTCTGTTGCGTTTCCCAGAGATCTTCTCAGTTGTTGAGTATGTAAGCGAATTTTTTCGGAAAATCTTTTATTATGCAAGATAAGTTTATGTTGCCTTGAAACGAGATTTGCTTTCATTTCCAGGTTCGATGGCTAAAAAAACAGTTCCCAGCGCTCCGTCCATACGGTGTGCAGGAAGAAGAGCCACCAAAACCTACCCAGTAAAGCCGTTCTCTTTCTTACAGCTCGGAATAGATACGTAGTACGTTTGATGCTGGTTTCGATTATCTTATTAGATGTTGTTCACGTTTTCATCAGAATGTTCATTCTTGTATTATTTTTGTGATTAACTCGGTGAACTGTTGTATCGTGATTTTGTTTTAAGTAATAAAGCGGTTCTTTCATGGCGTCTTGAAGTGGAAATATTTTCGGTTAGAAAGCCTCTCATACGATCAACAAGTACCTAGTAGCCCTTTTTCGAGTGAATGGATTTGCAGATGACCACAATTCGACCTTTCGACGTAATGGATATGCTGAAATTCAACAATGTGAACCTGGATAGTATGACTGAAACGGTAATCAGCTTTGTTACACTATATACCAGCCTTTTTTTGTTCATAACTATCTAAAGCGCAATGTAAAGCAAAAATATATGGCGTTCCTGGCGCACTGTCGCTATGACTCGTGCTTTGGATTAAGCGGGATGTGCGATGAAATTGTCACGTGAAGGGGATATTTATCAGGGTAAATGATGAGAGTGTTTTGTTGAACATTTCTGGTCGATCAGGGGGTCAAATATGCACTACTGCGCTTGACTCGGGTCACGATGCAGTGTGAGCTGTAGCGGCCATTTGCTCTCGGCTACCGCGACATTGCTTTCTCAGCTTAAAATAGAAATGACTCTCCTTATGTTTCGGTATGCATACATGGGGGAACTCTCAGCTCTTTTTCATATGGTAGTATCTATTACAAAATGTTTTGTGCACAGCTGATAAAAAAAATCATAATTGTTAATACCAAGTTTTCTGAGCATAGAGCGAAACTCCGAAGCCTTGCAATTAGTTTTTTTTTGAAACTTTGAATTTAGTATGGATTCAACTTTTACTTGTACTATCTTGTCAACTGGCCGGAGTACTACCAAGTGGCAGAGCACCCTAATGGGCAAATTATGGGATACAGTGAGTTTTATGGTGAATTTCAGATCATAGCAAAGGCTTTCGCAAAATTGTCATGGTTTTGAAAGCCGTTGCCTACTTTTGCAGAATAGTTTTTCGACTCATGATTAAAGGTAGAGATTACAGTTATGGGTAAAGCTGAAGGACGAGATGAGAACTGGCATGGTCACGTTACAGCACTTTCGGTTGCGCCAGATTATCGTCGCCTTGGTCTTGGTGCTCGTATGATGCACACGCTTGAGCATATTTCTGAAATGTAGGTTATGGAGTGTTGTTCCACTCCTCTTAGACTGCAGTAGTGGTCGTCTATCTTGTCTTTAAAGGCTAAGATAGACAAATCTGTCGTAACTTTGAAAGATGCGGCTGTTGAGTGTGCGTTTCCTTGCTTTCTGCTGCGGGAAGATGCTAGTTAGCCATAAACTGCTGCAGGGCTTATAGGGAAGTTTCACAGTTCAGGCTACACTTCAGAGGGTGTTAAGGTTGCTTGTAGAATCGCAAAACTAGGCAATTTCAAAGGCAATCTTTTCATTTTGTTTGTAGGACGCTCTACTGATTATTTTGGGGACAAATTGTCTTACTTTTTGAGTTGTCCCAAATTTTCTGTTTTTTTTTAACCATTTCAAAGTACTGTGCGAATCAACCATTTCAAACTGTAAATGTTGCTATTAAGGAAGAAGGCCTTACTTTGTGGACCTGTTTGTTCGTGTTTCGAATCACGTAGCGATTTCTATGTATAAAGCGCTGGGATATGTCGTGTACAGAGAAATCATAGATTATTATTCTGGGCCACGAGATGAGAACGCTTATGGTATGTTAACTGCCCTTTTCCCATTTTCTGTGTTTTTTCATAAAGTCTGTTTTGCCAATTTACTCGTGTAGCTCTCTGATCTGATCGCTTTCATTCATTGTAATAACTGTTTTGTGAATAGGAGGATAGTGTTTTTGCTCATCCTCGTCAAATGAACTTCAAGCCGATCAAAGAGACAAATCATTCAAACACTTTCGACTTAGAATGATCTTACGTTATTTTTTAACAGGGGCTAGAATTCAATGGTTGAATGTTCATGGTTTATAATTTTATTCATTTGCTTTTA